ATCCAAGTCACTGTAGCTTGTGCAATAGAAACCAGTGTTCCAGGAGGTCCAGGACGTGGCATTAAACATCCAGATCCACAGGACCCACATGGCACAGCTGTCGCTAGCGTTCCCATGGGTGCCATCTGTGCCGGTAGCAAGGGTGGTGGTGGAGGGAGTGGGATTCCACCCAAGCCGCCCATGGCGGTCAACCCGCCGGGTCCCAGCTTCGCAACGCCGCGCGTGGCCATCTGCGACAGCAAATAGTTCATGCCACAGGCCATGGGCGGTGCTCCATTGGGTGGGGGCCCTCGTGACACCGGCACTGAAGGGGGGACGGGCGGAGGAGGTGGCAAGGAGGCGCGGAGTCGTTTGGCTTCGGGGCCCTCTTCATCGAGCTTGTCACTGGTGCTGATCATGATAAGCCTCAGATGCTGCTGATCCTGATGGAAGCCGGCTTTCATCCCAATAGTTTTGCAATTGGGGGTCACCACAGTTGTCAAGCGCTGCATGCCGTCAATCCGAAATTGACTGAGGAAAAGTTATTCTGGAATATATCTTCACACTTCACACCACTAAAATTATATATATATATCTCTCTCTCTCTCCCTAATTATCGTTTTTGGGCTTTGGGACTAGACTATACTGCGTGCAAAGGACTTGTTGATGATGAAAAAGACGAACATCCCTATATCTTTGACTCTGAACAAATGAGAACACCACAAGACTGGGTGGTCGCTTTCATGTTCTTTGTTCCCTCGCTTCCGCTGGGACCCTGCAGCTGAGCCTCCCATTCCGAAAAGCAGGCGCGATGATTGCGGCATGGCCCAAAAACCAAAGTTGGTTCTTTGAAGTCTTTGAAGCGCTTGGTGCTGTGTGCTTGGTTGGGTATCTTGGACCCTCTCTCTAGTGGATTTTTAGTTTTAAACGTGCTTTGTTCACTTTTCGATCTCCAAAGTGGCGTGTAGTGACGGATTGGGGGGCATCTAATGAAGCTTTAAGCCTTGTGGCTGTGGAAAGGACTTCGCCACATGCATCGGGTCCTCTTTCTGCAACGACCGAGTTGAAGCTTGGCCTCTTGACACTGCCGCAGTGAGCCAAGAAAATTTCGCCGTGCAAAGGTCAACCACAATGAAGAGAGCTGGGGGTTCTCCAACTGGAACAACTGGGAAGTCACCAGGAGCCAGCTGCCCTCGGTGATCCAAACTCATATAGTTTCACTGCGCAAGGTGGAACAAACATGAAACAACATATACCCAAATTGCTGAGTCCTCTGTTAAATTTGATTTCCCTAGTGTGCATTAACCCCCACAGAATTGGCTTGCGTCGCGATCTGAGGCAGGTGGCGCAAAGCGGCGGACAAACGCCTTGCCCAGTTCTTTTGCTTGCTTTGTTCCTGACGTGCCGCAGTACGCGACCCGATGGCAATGGTCGCCCTCGCACGTTAAGTCCCCAAGGCTAGATTGAAGGCACCCGTGGGTTGAAACATCCAAATCGTCAGCGACTTTCAACATAAAGCAAAAAGAATCAAACAGGATGTTTTAATGCATGATAATGCATGGCACACGGGAATCCAGGAATCAAATCCCTTTCTGATCCTTTTGCTCATGGCATGGCAAGCATGCCCCGAGCCGGTGGCTGACACAATCCCCATGACACCAGCCAACCTCGATGTGATCGGCAGCATCCACAGCCTACCAGGTCAACACGAAGAATCCCCAGGAGCCTCACTTGAACATACTTGCAGATTAACGAAATAAGTAGGGATGCCTTACTTGCAAATTCAACCCCAAAGGTTGAACGATGAAAGAAGAACCGTTGTGTGGGAAGCCCCGAGCTGGGGCCCACTCCAGTTCACAATCGTTCACAATGCTACATTGTTCCCAGAACTTCTGAAACAGGTTGTCCAAGAACAATCAAGGCATTTCTTGGTGTCTATCACTACTCAACGCCGTGTCAGGAGGAGTGGTCCATCGGTCCAACGAGCCTCGTCCAAGCGGCTACGCACCCGCGTGAAGGCGGCGGTGGCCTATGCACACCCCATGAGATCTGGCCCAAAAGGCTGGGCGAAAACACTTGAGACGGTTCTGGTGCTGGATTCTCCAAGTAATGCTAAAGAGATGAGACTGACGAAGTTTGGACACGCCTGATTACCGTCCTTGCGCTTGCCATTGAGAAACCTGAGAAAAGCAAGATCCGCATGCGGAGTTGCTGCCTGTGAATGCCAAGAAACACGGCCACTATCCGCATACGCCAAGCCATGAGTCACGGAGAGTGAGACAACTCGCCACAAGAAACGCACAAAATTGATCTCATCGCGGAGACACTGCTCCGCTCCAAACACTTTCAGAATGGAAAAGCAGGGAAGTGCAAGGCATGCGCAAGCAAAGCCATCTCTCAACCAGATCGACCGGCAAAATCTTCCACTGAGCTTGGGGCACGCCTAAGGACCAGGTCGCAATGAAGGAACTTTCACCTGGGACGTAGACCCTGGCTACGGAGAATATCGCGGGTGAAAGCTTTGCCAAAGACTACGGGTGAATTGCTCTTCCAAACGACGCGCTGCAGTGTCTGATGACCAAGCGGCACGGCTTGACTGACGAGTTGGTTCCCTCCCTGCCGAGTTTGCTTTTGGTGTTTCAGTGGTTACATAATCCTCTCAAGCGAAGCTGGCAGGAGGGGCCCGTACATTATATGGAGGCAACCCCGCGTAATATCACGTAATAACTTGAATCACCTAGGTGGGTGGCTTCGAAGGGAACGCATGAGGGATACAAAGGCATAGCTGGAGCTCTGATGGGGTAGATCCTGACATCTACAGTAACTGAGGGAGAACGTTGTAGTTGGTGGTTGCACAAATTTCAATCCAACTATGTCAGGCAGTGCGGCGGATCATCTCCATCTCCGGTTCAGTTGCCAAGCTGCCCATTTGCCAGGACCTTCTGAAGTACAGCCTGAGCTGGGTTTCGATAGACGCACGTGAAACAAATCGCTTTGGCCGGGATTCTTTGTCTGCAAATCAAGGGGGTTCAGGTATAGTAAACACCAGGTGATCAGCATACGAGTGTGCTCCTTTTGGCTGTGTATACTGTATATATGTGTACAGTATATGCTTCAGCCACACGCTGTTCAGTTATGATGTGGGGTTGGATTTAGTGAGTTGACACCTGATATCGGAGTATTGAGTCCAATGAGTCTTGTTCACCATGGAGAATGGAAGCACCACTGTTCTTGCATAGTGTTCAAACAATCACGAACCAACGATGTCCGCTACCCTTGGTCGTCTTGCGGTCGATCTTGCGCTCGATCCGGCTGATGTCCACAGCACTGGCACTGGCTGTTTCAACCGGGCCCCTGGCCACGCGTCATCATGCAAGAGTCGACTGATGAAAGCATGTGCCTTGGCACCCCAAGCAACTTTGGAACCACGAGAGGGGGGTCTTCCGCCGATCTTACCAAGACCATAAAGACCATAGCGCCATACTAGCCCACGTCTCAAAGTTGCATTGTTGATCAAACAAAGGAAAACATATACTGCAAAGGCTGTAGAGCTAACCGCCTGACATGCTGAACATATATGAACATAGAAAGGACACTGCCTCAGTAAGAAACACAGTTTCGTTGAGCTGGCGTTCTGGATAACTCTTCCAGTGGGGTTGGGGAGGGCGACTCAAACATCTCAAACATGAGCTCATTGTCAACAGCAAGGAATATTGTTCAAGTTCAAGGTGTTCCGATTCACCCATCCACCAAAATGCTGACTAATAGACTAATCTACCACCTTGCGATTCCCCTGGACTAGACCATGACCACGCATCGCAAGATTCGTCATTGAGAGTGCCCAAAACATTCTGCCACAAGCCCTCAAGAAGAACAAAAGTGCAAACACTGGTGACAAATAGTTTCAGTTTGATTGATCTAGAAGATTTCGATCAGGGTGAACAACAACTATACAAACAAACATCACTGTGAAGCGTCGTCATTACTATAGTCTTTTTACAGTTGGTGAACGCAGTGTTTTCTGTGCTTTGTCTATTTCCTAGGATGCTTAGGAAGAGATCTCGGTTCCTACGACTCTACTTTCGATCGCCGCGGCGCCAATTCTTTTCTCACCGGACGGTTCTCAAGTCCTCGAGTCGCAACCCTGTAAGCTCACACTTCAGATCGAACAAGTCGCCTTAAATCAACGTTGACTTATGGTGCGGTGGAGGCCATAAGACTCTGAACAGTTGGAGGCCACCACCTGTCCTTCCAGGTTCCACCCAGGCGTCACCCCAAACCCAGGCGTCACCGGCCATGGCCAAGTTCGCCACCTGCGAACTTCGGCCGCTTTAAACGGTTCGATCGGGGCGTGAAGGAGGCTGCTGCTGGTCCAGAGCTGGGGTGAAAGAGCCGCGAGCAGCGTTTGGAGCATCTTTTTCACCGCTGAAATGAGGCAAGTCAGGGGCAAACCATGGCAAACCCCTATTGCAAAGATCTGACACGTAGGAGGGGTATTTCCACGTGTTGCAGCTTGCACATTAAGATATGTTCGGAGAACATTGGACACAACATGATGTGACCTGGCGCTGCATGCATGCCCTGGGAGAAATGCTGAGCAAGCATGAGCAAGCATCACAAGGACACACACTCTCACAGGGCTTTGAGGGTCATGTGTTTCTTGCTGATGAACATGTCCTCATGTCCTTCTTTCTTGGTTTTCTTGTTGGGTTCTTCTTCAGTTTCTTGAGTCAATATGTTTCTATTGTTTAATGTGTTACGTGTTTCTGTTGTTTAAATAATACGTTTTCGAGGTTGCTTGCAGCGATGTAGGTCCCACACGATGGTCCACTGGCCCAAGAGAGCCAACAGCGTCAGCTGTCGCGTTAGCTGTCCCCACCGGAGATGGCTTTGCCAGCTCCCCCACGTGGTAGTAGCACAGGCCCCATCTGTTGTTGACTACAAGAACATTGGCAAACTGGCTTGGAAACCTCCAAAAGCCCAAAAGCATCCAAAAACAAGTGCATGTGTTCCTTCAAATTGTTTCTTGGGGCGCCACAAGGGCTTACCGCCATCCTTGTTCACAAAAAGTCATTCCTGTGAGTGAAACGCGAAACAGTTAGATAGACACATGTTCTGGCACATCTGGCAAGTGGACTTTGCGCTCGCCCGAAAGCTTCAGAAGCAGCTGCTCCATGCCTCGCTGATGAAGACAACAACAACTGCATTTTTTAAGGATGCCGAAAAGAAGAACACCTTCAAGACCATTTCTATTTGTGCAGGAACCTCTTTGGTCTGTGCCTTATGTTTTCAACTCGCTGCAAGAGGGTCGTCATTCGGAGCTTAAGTATCGAATCTTATGGAATAAAAATCCCCAAACACAAGGAGGGTCAACTCACCAATGATATCACCCAGGGGTATGGCAACACTCAACCAATGATTGCCTCGTAGTTGTGGTGGGCACTTTCTGCTCATTTGCAAAAAGGGGCCTTTGCAAAGGGGCCGCAATTGCCACCCAGAATGGCATCTCTGCAGCAAAAGGAATCACTCACTAGTACTTGAAGCAGTATTGGGGTTCTTGCGTTTCATCATCCTGGCTGGCAGTTACCGTCAGCTATCTATGTCTCTAGCTGAGAGTTGGGTATGATGAGTTGAGACTGCTATTCTCCCTCTGCCTTGACTCGGGGCATTGAGTGAACCATCCAGGCTTCCCACCGCAGCCACCAAGCGGCCCAAGAGCTTCTTCCGCGTGCGTCGCTGCTCGCGTAAAAGCAGGGAGACGTCGATGGCGCGGGCGGGGCCCTTGAGGCGCATGCACCCTTCGACGAACTCCGAGGCCTCCAAATCACCACTGCCTGCGGGTGGTCTCCACGTGCGTCTCCGTTCAGTCCGGAGGCTTCTTCAAAGAACATCTGTGGTTATAGTGAGACATAATTACAGTGACAACTCAGACTTTTCGGATTCAAGGTTGCTGAAGATGTCAGTTGCTGACGATCATGCAAGGCCCACCGGCCATGGTGTTGTGGATCAACCAGCCCATCAACATTGTGGTGCTATCACTACTGTTCCAGTGCCACGGGGCTCCGTATTCATCCTTTTTCACCCATCTGTCTGCAGACTTGATAGGCATGTCTTGCGAAGAAGTGTCGTTTTTTGGGGTCACGACCTCGCTCGGACGTTCGGGTTCGGGTTCGGCTCCCTATCACTCCCTTCTCCTGAGATATCCATGAGGTTGAAGAGGGTCCATGCATCCTTCGTCTCCACATCCAAGGCCTCGAAAAAGGAACCTCGAGCGAAAGCAGCGTAAAAAAGCCATCAACTCCTCTGATGTCTTGGCAGTGCTGTGAATATGACCATCCTGTTCACTTACCCAATTGCTCAAAGTACTGTACCCAGTCCTTGTCCAGTGACTGGCATTTTGCTTGTCCAAGCTGGCCAAACAAGCGCAACCTGAAATAATAAATTATCTGGACAATAAAGGTTGCTCACCGCGCAGAGGTTCATGTGGCAAAAGCAAGCCATGTAAATGCTGTGGCTCTGTTGACTGTGCTTAGGAATCGCTTATTTGTATGTTGTAGCTAGGACCTGCACACTGACCGCCGTGGGCAGCGCATGGCAAGAATGACAAGGGGCGAATGTGTGGTTTGTCAAAGAGTTCCTCAAATTCCATGAAGGTCAAATTGCCGGTCGCTCTTCGACCCAGGTCTTGCCTGAAACGACGCCAGACGCGCACGGTGGTTTACAGCGAGGAACACAGAAAAAGAACAAAACATGTCGGAACAAATTAAACTTCTTGAACGGCCCTGTTGCTGAAGCATTTCGAACATGGACATGAAGGTCTCGATTTGCTGTTGCTTCGTGCTCAGGACTGCTTGGATGTGCAGTTCTTGATCTCGCTCGGCACTTTCCTTCCAACTTAAGCTTGCATTTGCTGTAAAATCGTACAAAGAGTAAAAGCTATTCTCAGAACAGGGTTCGCCCATAGGGAAAGTAAAAAGCATCCTAAACAAAACCAGGTAGGTGTTGTGAAAAACATGCCCACAAAACAATACATTAAAACTGCACGATATGCAACAATTTCATGTGGGCAAAAGCAGGATAAAGTAAAACATACATGATTGACACCCAGTTTCAATCGCAGATTGGCAAAACCTCACGAATGCGTGAAGAAACCATATGAATCCAAAACCAAACCTACAAAAATACAGTGTTCGTTCTTTACATTGCAAGGAGGCTCGCACAATGACACAACCAAAAAATCAGTTTAAGCAAGGCCAAACTTCATACCAGTCATCACATTCAGGACTGCGAACATGCCTCAGCTTCTCACACTAAGGGCGGCCTAGTTAAAGGAAATTGACACACAGTTTATGGACTTCATGACGGCAGGTTTGCTGGAAGCCTTGCCAGGTGATGTTCTAGTCCCTATGCTGCCCTATGCCTTCAGCCATCTGCCAGAGTGGAACCAGGCCCATTTCTGCCAACAGGTCTTGCCGAGTCACAGAATGCGATATAAATTATATAGAGATAGCCCCAAACACGGCTGAGCTCATTCAGCTTGTCTGCAACGTCACCCCAATTGAGCCCGTTGCAAATACTTTGGAACAATGTGATAATCGATCGCTCCAGGTCAAAGAAGTGCTTCCGCAAGAATTGAGAATGCTCTTCGCTGATCTCTTCGAAGCCGCTTGAATATTCGTTACTGACATCGGTAAACACGATGGCGAAGACATACCTAAAGAGCAATAGCATGGATTCAGCTCATGCCATAATGTGATCCTTTCTCAAATGCACCGCATGCAAGTGAGTCATTGGTCATGATCACTGGGAACAGTCAACAAAATGCAAAGAATCTTTGTGGAGAAGTGCCCCACAACTGTTGGTCACCATCTGTAGAACTATAGTAACAAGGGCATTACTACTAGTAGGAAGAAGCCACTAGTAGTTCCTGGCATTACTACCTTAAGAGGAACAAGAAGCTACTAGTAACAAAGTGCATCGCTATCTGGTGTTGATCCAGAGTCGTCTCCTCGGTTCACCAAAGTACATGATCATGATCAGGAGAAGGACCGACCAAAGCAAGACCTTCATGGTACCGAAGATCGAATGCACCTCGGGTGCCAGTGATGCCTACGTCGTACCATGGATATCTCACGTCTCAGGTGAGATAGCATACCATAACACAAAAAGGAAAAAACGGAAGAACTCGAGTAAGAAGGTGACAGGAAAAAACACATAATGTCATCTGCCTCAATTCCTGGCATGTCACCAATCACCAACCCAAAACACCAGCACTTTGTTCTCTCAGATCGGCTCTATCAAGTGACTTTTGAAGTTCAAGGATTAAAAAACACATGTCACATGTCTGCGATGACCCACTATGCATCACATCCCAATCCAAGGCACCAAAGACCTGAGGGCCCTGATAAAGCGAACAATCTTCACAATCCGTACGACTCGAATGACCCTCGTCAATCGGAGGATGCGGATAATGCGCATGTTTCCAGATGCCTGGCTCTCGCAGTTCACATGCGCGTGGCGTGTGAGCCAAACGCAAGCTGCGCTATATTGCAACATGAGACAGGATTGAAAGGGCTGGCAGTGTGCACAATATGCATATCACTTATAAATCAAAACTCAAAGTTTGGGTGTTCTCTTGTGGTGCAGGTCTTCGCAATTTGTTTTTCTTTATGGTCATAGGACATGCGCTAAATCCTTGGACTTGTTGCGCCTTGATGGTCTCAGTGTCCTCACTAGAGGTGCTGGCAACCGCGGAGACCAAATTCAGGACTGAGGTGGCGTTGATCATCAAATCCAAGTAGTTCCTAGCTTTGTTCCAAACCACACGGCTGCTCCCAAGAAATCTGTTGAATGTAGAACTGCTGACCAATTACAGTAAACATTAAGGGAGGCATCCGAGATCGTGTAAGCTAACACTCAGCTGCAGCAAGGCCTGTGACAATGACCCCCTTCTCTTAACATGCTTCTTGGGCATCTCTCCGGAAAAATTGCCTCATGCAGTGTGCAAACTTCGCGTTGCACATCCGAGAATCCATGCGAGGTTCGGAGAGCGGAAGAAGAATGGCCTTCCTTCTGCCATGACTCGCAGCACGAGCTCGACCAAAAAGAGACCTGCATAGATCCTCGATCAAGAAAATACGTGTCCATGGAACAAAAGCTGAGCAATCTTGAGATTCCCGGGTAGAAACTCATAACGCCTACTACCTGAGCAAACCGGCACACGCAGAACAAAGAACCGCCAAAGAACAGGTGGTCGCTCCAAGCGTCTGGTCAATGTAGAAAAAGACGGGTGGCATCGAGCTGTTGGCATGATGTGCTGCATAATGCACCTTCGTCGACTTGCTCGATCGGCGTTTTTTGCAAGAACAACGGATCAATGGACAAAAGACCTGCGGAGCGCAAGCCATACCCGCTCTCAAAAATATAGAAAACACATGTCAAACACACTTAATTACACACCCTTTAAAGAGGTTCCACAGCCTTTGTCTTTGAGAAGGCGAGTCCGAAGAAAGAGTTGAAGAATTTGTCCCGAGCCTCCACACCAATAAAAATGGAGTTGGAGAAAATGGCCAAAGCGAAGAAGGCTTCAAAGCTCCAAGAAGCGACCACACTCCTGGAACAGAAATGGCACTAAAACAACACAGTGGGCCCTCAAGCTGTGGACATGCACAACGCTACAAAGGAGATATATCTACAACGGTGGGACATGGTGTCGAGATGCGTGGCCCACCATGGGATCTCAACATGTTTCAAAACCTGCGTGGCCCACTGGTGTTGTTCAGGTGTGTTTCAACATGGGAACAACCACTTAGTCAAGGGTACACAGATATTAGAGAGGTTTCCCAAAAGCAAGTGACAACAAATACCTACAACATCCTACAACGTCTATCGCGCGGTTCACTTTTCCATCGGGCCTTGACTTTTCCACACATTTGAGGATTACTCTTTGACACAAAGCGCACAAATGGAATGGTTTACGAAGCAGCTTACATCTGTGCATCGCGTTCGTTCAAGCGCGCAGAGTGCTGCAGCGGGTCCAAGAACTAATTACTTCAGTGGTCGCAACCATTAACCAATATTGCATCGTGTAGAAAGACACTCTCTAGGCACAGTCGCAGTGTGCCAGTGTACCAATCTTATGGAGGTTAGATCAAGTTGAATGATCTTCGCCAACAAGGTCGTCCTCATCCACCCCAGCAAGCTCTTACGAAGCAGCGCCCCTGAACCACCAGTCTCTATCGATTTGAGCCTCGGCTGCTCGGCCCAGAGCTACAAAGCATCAAAGGAACAGGTAGGCAAAGGGAAATTTTGGATGGACATGAGCTTCAAAACAATTTATGGTAAATTATTACACAGTATTACCATGCCCTTACCATGCCCTTATGACGTGAGTTCGTTGGAATATCGGACACGGCAATGGTTGCATGCACTTACTCCTCCACAAGGCCTGGAACATCTGACTCTGTCCATCTGGAACATGTCCTGCAGGTGCCACCGCTTCTTCTGCCCAAGGTGCTCCTGCTGTTGTGTCCTCCGCTTCTTCTGGGACTCCCTGAGGGTCTCTTTGTGCATCTGTTCTTCATTCGTATCAAAGGAGGTCATGGACACCTCAGTCAAAGTCACTGCCGGTCTCGCCAGTAAGTGGTATCTTCCCTGTAGAATGTGGGCATATCCGGGTTCTCCGAATAAGGTATGTCCATGTATGTCCTCTGTGTCCAGTCCGGTTCTCGTGGATGAGGGGTCCAACAAATCTGGACATCCCTGGGATTCAATACCTTGAAGCGCAGCCCTTTGACCGAATGCCATTAGATCTGCTGTCTGACATGACTCGGCTTCACATATATATATATATATCTGCAACATCCAAGTCAATTGCATCCCTCAAACCTTGTAATGCTATCCCGGGACTAGGAATTGATAAATGAGTATAGTTATATAATATCCACCATCCATGGTCAGCTACCGGGGAAGCCAGCAAACTCCTATATACTGTATGTCTCCAACTGTCGCAGTAAGTAACTACTTTCCTTCAAGTCTGTCGGCACTACTTGGGTGTATC